GCAGGTCGAGGCTGCGGTGGCTGGGAGCATGCCACTGCCCTCCAGTCTGGGTGACAGAGTAAGACTCCAACTCAAAAAAAAAGAAAAAGAAACTCTAGAGAGAAGTACATTCTCAAGGCTACAGAGACCTAGTTGCAAGGTTACAAAATCATTCCATGAAATAAAGTGGAAATGGCTTAAAAGGAAAGATCAAGTGTTAATTTCATCAAGAATTATAACTCTTGTAATCTTAGAGGAATCCAAAAGAGAAATGTCTCATATATTTTGTGAGATTCACAGAGGAAATTTCCAAAGGAAATGTTTTTATGTAATCATTATTATGCATCACATCCCTAGCACTTGCCTCTACACATCGTGCTCTTAGTTGAAGTAACTGCAGTGCATCTTTACTTTGTATCTGTCAGTTTTTTGCTAACTCATACTCACAAACATAGACCTAGGAACATGCACATACTCCCGGATAATTACAAACCCAATTCAGAAAGCCCTTGGACCAAAAATTCACATTTAGCTAGGATAACGTTCTTTTTTTAAGTCCTTGGAGCTATTTTCTCTCAAGAACCCAACTCTCCTCTTTATGAAATATCTGCCTGTTGTTTTCCTTGTTAAATGAAAATCACCATTAAGCTGGGCATGGTGGTGCACACCTGTAGTTCCAGTTACTCAGGAGACTGAGGTAGCAGGATCGCTTGAGCCCCCAGGAGTTTTGTGTCTAGCCTGGGCAACACAGTGAGATTCTATCTCTTTAAAAAAAAAAAAAAATTCACCATTAACAGTTATGCGAACATGTACATGTAAGTATCATATATAAAATCAGATCAAAATATTACAGTTTAAAAATAGGATCTGGTGCTCCTATTTCTAGTGTCATCTGGCCTAAGACCTGATGCAGGAAAGCTTCTCTCACCATTGACAGGTTAATTGGAAACAGGATCAACCTTCCTGTCCTCTGCTGTAATTTTTTTTTAATCAATATTTTTTATTTTGATATTGTGGTGTACAGTTAAGGGTTAGGTATACAGATATGTTTCATTCAGGCACCCTTGTTGATAAGGGGTGTCTCCCCATCCCCAGGCAGATACTAACTACCGTTAATCCCACCTCCCTTCCCCTCCCCCTGCATAGTTTCCCACCACTGTTAGTCCTTTTTTTGTAGTATCATGATGGATGTTCAAGGTCCACTATATGAGTGAGAACATGTGATACTCAGATCTTTGTTTCTGTGAGAGGTCACTCAGTATTATTGACTCTATTTC